TATGTATATATATATGTATGTATATATATATATATGTATATATATATATATATGCATACATAAACATATCATATGCATTAATTAAAAATATAGTTTCAACATCAAAACATCAACTAAAACAAGTTCCACAAAACAAAATAGGAAAAATGTTCATAAACGAGCTAATCACAAGCAATAGGTTCAGCATCCGAGTCAACATAGTTTTAAAGAGGCCCAAGCTAAAATATCGGTATATTGGTTCGCAGTTTCACCTCAAATACCAGTCCAATTGCACTGCTATTATCGTAAACACAATTTTCACCGCAATTTAACCACCACAATTTATCTTAGTTTGCAATATGCTATTGCAGAACAATAGCGCCGCAATTAACAACATAGGTTGGAAGAGCATTGCAGGGTATGCTTTTACTTTACGTGGTACTACTTTTAGTTGAGGTCATGGTTACAATTAATCTATAGTCTCCTTGTTAACAATATATGCTCACCTTACACTTGCAGTTGAAGATGCAACAAAGGAGTTAATTGTGATAGCCAAGGTGTTGTACAATTGGCTACTAATTTGGTGTTCAGCTCCAAGACCAAGCATATCACCATGATGCTGGCATATCTAATTGTGTTACATGAAGAAACAGTCGTGCACTTGACTAAGATCTAGACATAGGATAGTGCTAAAGATTCATGAAGTCTTTACCTTCGTCCAAATCTGAGCACTGCTCGAATTTGATTTAATTGAGGCCATGTTTGGTACTATGATGGCACTAGAAGGATGAGATGGAATTTGCAAATGTCACAGAGACATCTTTGGAATGTTTTACTTGCCATCTAGTTTATGTGCTTCGTTTTCATTACAAATACTTTATTAGTAATGTTTTCTTCTTTGACGGGTGATGGCCAAACCGAAGTTTATCACCTTCAAGATGCATTTGTATATCCTCCATGCTTGTAGTTTGGCTAGTTTTGTTGCCACTAATTTTGGGTATTGTGATGGAGGTTTCTACCTCAAGGTGGAGTGTTATATTTTGATGTTACATAACTGCACAAATTCCTGTTTCTGTGGCATGTATGTGACGTGGCTAAGTAGCGATGCAACAACTCGTAGGACTTAGTCGTAGAGTGTGTGCGATCTTGACCATGACCCTCGGTCACACAATCAAGTCACGTGGTAAACTTGGATGAGGTGAAAGAGACTTGGAAAATAAGGGTGTGCAACCTAGCCACTTAGTAAGTCATGTCGAATGAAGTTTGAGGTTCGATCCTATAGTTGCGACATGGCCATATATATATATATATATATATGTATGTGGTATGTGACCTCAAGCATCATATAGGCACCTCAATTGGAGCCCAAAATGGAAGTAGGTGACCTAGGCACATGTTCTTCAAGTTTCATACCAATAAGGGGTTGAATATAAGGTTTTTCTTTCATTGGATCAATTTGTAAATCAGTTCTTTTCCAAGAATAGAAAGATATCGCGTAGGAGTTGTAGTTTGCTGATTCTAGATCATTTGATCATGTAAGTACATTGTAACCTCCAATTTTGTTTAATACAGTCAATCTTTCCCTATGAACGTGCACTATTGCACCAATAGAGGGACCATGTTAAATCTCGTGTCTTGATTTGTTTTCCCTTACATTATATGTGTCTAAGCTTGGTAATCACATACATCTTAATGTGGGTTGATTATTTGTGGACGAAATTTTGTGTACTCCTTGTTTAGTTCTTATTTCCGCATTGTTGTGTTGGCCTTAGTTTTATTTGGATTCCCACTCGATTATTTGGGACCTATTGGAATTATTTCTCTTGGAGTATAGCGTGTATTTGTTTGTACACCTATAATTCAACAAAATGCAAGACATATTAGACAATCTTTTGTATGCATCTCTTTCCTGTCAGTACCTAAATGGTTTGTACAACCCTTGTAGAGAATTTACTGTTGAAAAACTTGATAGTGGAACCACGTTAACCACGTTAAATTCTCGTGCTGTTATTTTGTGAACTTTTCATATCCATAGATTCTAACATATCGTTATTATCTATTTTGGGGTTGTTTATTTTGATAGAGTCATTCTGCAACATCTAGATAATTGTTATCCACATTTGTTGTCGGGTTTGTTGTGTACATCCTTGGATTTCTATTTGTTTTGGGACCTTAGAAATCATTTGCTAGCACTTGAGTTGTGACACACATTTCCTGACATTTACTTCCTTCTCAAGCGATACATTGGTTTCACTAACATCTTGATCCATTCCCGAGACACCATCACTTTGGTAGACGTCAAAACTTGTCTTATTGGCAAGGAATTACAAGATTAGATGAAGCGGTTGGGTAAATGATTTTGTAGGTAGTCCTGGCCTATTTCCTAAGAGAGACCATGATGGGAGTTCTAATCCTTGGAAGCCCAGTATGTGGAGAAAATATAAAGAAAGGGGGTCGCACAATTATTACAAGAAACCCGACCATATATCATAGATGGGTAAAGAAGATAGAGATAGAGAGCAACACTTCAACATTTGTGATGTTGGCTAAGGTTTATTCTCCAAATTCTGATCATCGATGGGTGATTAATTCAGTTGCATCGTTTCACATGATACTCAATACGTGTTGTTTTTCAATGTTAGTTGGGTAGAAGGGAACAACATTTCTATAGGGAAAATGACATTGTATGTGAGAGTATGAGCATTAATACCGTGAGGATTAAGATGTACAATGGGTCTATTTCTCCTAAGGATATAGTATATCACTCCGACAGTGAAAAACCACACCAGTTTTTGTGTCATATGGTGTTATTATCGACATGCCAATGCATTTGTTTCCCTTATGCCTTGAACATTTATCAAGCATGCAAGTTAGTTTCAAAACATTTTGTTCCGCATTTAGTTGTTTGGGTCTAATCACATTTGTGTCAGATTTAGGATCGTGGTTCAATCCCGAACAATTAAAGATCTTAATCAATCAAACCAAACTAACAATTGAACAAACAAAAACCCAATATATCCCACAAAGTTAAAGATCTTAATAAGTATTCATGAGGTAATTTTTGTTACTTGTAGAGTACATATGCAAAGCTTGGCTGTACTCAAGGATGGTTTGCAGCATCTCTATTTCATTCTTCTTCAAAGTGAGATTATGAACATTTGTTCAAATTAAATGTCTTGTTTTTATTAGTATTAAATGGACTGGATGCTGATTAATTCTCAATGCAGGAATATAGCTCAACTTGCAAAGATCAAAATCATGAAAAGGAATGGTAGATGGGAAGACCTCCAAATAAGTCCTAGGTATATGACTGGTTTGCTTCTTTTCTGTTTATTATGTGGGGTTAGCTTAACAAGTAACAAGGCTTGAGCCTTTGGGGAGAAATCACCTGTTCGAGGTGCGCACAAACTGGCCCGGACACCCATGGTTAACAAAAAAGATTACATATACATGCAAATACACTTTTAATCATATAGTCTTACATGTTATAACGAACCATAAATATTTAAAGTTTGTGAAAACCATTATATACATATACATGCCTTGATGCATATACTATACATTATTATGATATGTATCTGTCAGTTAGTATATATCTGTCACTTAGATGGTTATTTTATGTAACACATCTTTAACTTACTACTTACAGCATGAGGTCAATTATATGCCTCAACTTGCCTAGCTTCGCTGGTGGACTAAATCCTTGGGGAACACCAAATCGAAAGAAATCTCGCGAGGTTGGTACCACTTGTCCATCTCTTTCAACATCTCTTTGCACAATATATTGATGCATGAAAATCAAAAATACCAATTTCACGAGATCTGCTTATTATAATGACAATAAATAAATATTGAACCTCATAGAAAAATCTTTGAGTATGTTGTGACTGTTTTTCATAAGTAAAACAATCATGAACGTTTCACGTATGAAACAACATTATATGAACACGACATATTACATATGTATATTTTCATATTTGAAACAATACATAAAAACCAGTTTGTAGCATTTATTGGGTTTGTTTTCGACTTTTCCTATATATGTATCTAGTTTTGACCCCCAAAAAGTTATTACGTTGAATTTTAACCCCATTACTAAAATTCTTGAATGCTACTATTACTCGATCAAAAGTTATGGATGCTTTAAGTTTAGGCTTCTTTTTGGCCCGTTTCCTCATCCCCATCAATCGTAAATGAGTTTCATTCTTCTTAAGTAAAATTTAGCAATCATAATATCATATCCAATATGTGTTTTACATGATTTATGTTGTCACTAACATGATCCAGAGAGACTTGACACCACCATATGTAGATGATGGTCTTCTTGAGATTGTTGGCTTTAGAAACGCATGGCATGGACTTGCTCTTCTTGCACCCAACGGTCATGGCACGCGTCTTGCGCAGGTTAAAACTCAACCTTCTAAATGGTTCATGTCATAACTGTTACATTAACCAAACAGACCCACAATATATCTCATTTGAAAGTAGGATTCATTATAACCAAAAAGTGGTGTGAAGTAATATCCTTAAGTTAGAAGAGAAATTACATAAATTGTCTCTATGGTTTACTGAATCTCTGGGAATGGTCGCTCGAGTTTCTAAGTTACACCCGAGCCTCCATCGTTTCTAATTTCATACACCCACCGCCCCTAGCCCTAATGGACATTAGTAGCAGGCACTAAGTGCTCACATGAAGTTTCTAATTCCCACAGTTTCAATAAAGCAGAAGGACGATTTATGTAGTTTACTCTTTGTTAAAATAATATTGTTCTTGGTTGAACAGACGGACAGAATTAGATTTGAATTCCTCAAGGGTGAAACTGAGTGTACATATATGAGGATTGATGGGGAACCCTGGAAACAACCTCTCCCAGTTGATGATGACGACACTATCATGGTGGAAATATCGCTTCATGAACGGGTCAATATGTTGGCCACAGAGAATTGCATATCAAAAAGCGTTACCGACCCCTGCACACCTACTACTCCTTGCACTCCTATCGATCAAGACCCCGAAGAACTCGACACAGATGACAGTGACAGTAACTGCGACGAAGATTTCCCTACAGAACAAGAGCGGAGGAAGTTCGGTGCATGTGAGTCATTCAGACTCACAGAGGATCTTGACATTGATCACCTCACCAAGTTTGGTGCATGTGAGTCATTCAAACTCCCAGATGATCTTGACATTGTTCATCACCTCAGTAAGTTTGGTCCAGATGAGCCATTCAGATTCCCAGAGGATCTTGACATTGCCTACCTCAGCTAAGTCTCATTTTTAGCCAGCGGTCTTCATGAAAACAATTGTTTTATTCATTGGGGTAGAGTTCAAGTTTGTATACATCCTATTCTCCCCGGATCCCACGTCTGATAAGATAAGTTTGGTTTGGTTTAGTTTAGTGTCATTTCCTCCGTTAAGAACAGGATTACGTGATGACAATTCTTTTATCCGCATAACTTACTCTTGCCCGTCTAGTCCTCATGCCAAACGCAAATGACTCATAATTAAGTTAAAAATAAGGATCACATGGGTTATTATTACCTTGGTCCAAAATCTCTGATCTAGTAAAGTAAAAATCAGATCAAGTTTTATGATAGTATTTGCCGATTTAGGCTATGTTTGCAAACTAGTTGTTAACTTAAAAATTAGCTATGGGCTAAAAAGCTAGATGTTGCTAATAAACTAGTCATGTTTACTAAACTGATAGTTAAAAAGGACATGTTTAAAAAATATTTGGAAAAAAGCTTTCGTCCCTTTCTCATGCTAAACGCACCCCAAATGACTCATAATGTAACAAGGATCACGGGGTTATTATTACCTGGGTCTAAAACCTCCAATATGTTAAAGTAACGATGATGTTTTAACTGTATTATATATTAAATGGTATGCATCTCATTTAGTTCATGTATGCATTGCAAATTTTACTTTTGGATACTGAACTATAAATTGGAAGGTTAAAAGATGCATATAAAGTCTATATATCTCACAATAAATTGCTAATGATCAGGGATTCACCGACATTTTTCAGCAACGTAATTTGCATTACTTTCTTGCATATCGATCACTATTCCTTGATAATTTCATTACTGCCTCATTTGCCTTTTGAGGTTCGTGTCTTTCTTCTTGTTTCTTCTCCTCCCCAAAAATGGGGAAAAGGTTGTAATTCTAAGGCCTTGGCTTACATAAAAAGTGATTTGGACTTATTTTTGTAACCGTGAGTGTCCAGGTGAGCTTGTGTACACCTCGACTAATCCAATGGGACCTTGAATATAACAAAATCTCCAATGTGGCCCTCCTGAGGAGACTCGAATGACCTGGCCTTTTAGCTGCAGCTAGCCCTCAAAGATTGGAGCTCTTCTGAATTATTTAATTGGCATCACTAAATGATCAAGCAATGCGACGCCCTATTCTAAAGCATTAGATTCGTAGTAACGCCCAAGCAAATAAAACCATATTTCAAACCGAAAGGCAATCTAGAAATCCAAATTTAAGCGCTTACACCATTTGTAACATCCCACCACAAGACCTTGATCTCAAAACAATGATAAGAAGCTATAGCTAACCACTACCAAGGATTTATGAGGAGCTCATAAAACCAAACCAAACGAGCCCATTATATCCCACCTCGAAGTGAGGCTAGGAGAGGATAAGATGTAGACATACCTGACCTCTATCTCAAAGCCTCTACCTCAAATATTTGAGTGGTTGTTTCCATGTAGACCCCTAGCATGTGAAAAAGAGAAAAGCAGGTAAGGTTATATTTAGAAAAGATGGATATAAACTCCACATGTCAAGCCAAAAACAAGTTTACATACACAGATCAACGCTTTGATAACCTCCAAACGAGGAACCAACTACAACCATGATGGGGAATTATTAATAGCCTACTAGCAATGACCTATAAAGGCTTACAGTTCACAACCATGGTCCATAATCATGTTCAAGAAGATGTTACACTCAATGTTCATAAGTAAAAGCTAAATTGAAGACAAAAGCAGGAAAACAGCCAAGGGAAAATGTGAAGATTTCATAGATAGACCTGTACTGTTGGTGATCCTCATTTAGTTCCTTAACATATGCTTGAAAGATGGCTTCCCTATCGTCATCACTTGGGTACCCTTCCCTAAGTTGATCATACACAGGCACAAACCATGGAGAAAGTACAACATTATAACAATATGTCTTCTTGTATCTCATATTGAAGAATGATTCAAAATCCTTTGGGTTGCTAGTCCTTTGGTTTGCTAGCCTTTTGGTTTGCTAGCCTTTTGGATTACTAGTCTTTTGGTTTGCTAGTCTTTTGGCTTGTCTTTTTTTTAATGTTATCTTCCTTTGTAAGCTCTATATATAGAGAGCTCTTCTTTTCAATAATAGTGTGGTTTTTCATAGCATATTCTTGTTCTCCTCTTTTATTCCAACATTTTGGTATCAAAGCTTAGGTTGCACTCCTAGCCTCATTCCTTTACGAGTCAAATGACACTAAACAGTAGTACCGTAAGCGTGTCTCAACCCCAAATTCCTATCTTCAAGGGTGAATCCTACGAGTTCTGGAGCATCAAGATGAAAACTTTGTTCAGATCACAAATTCTGTGGGAATTTGTCGATTATGGTTTTGCAGAAGGAAGTGATGATGAAGCTCGATAAAGAGAAAATCAAAAGAAGGATGCAAAGGCACTGTTCTTTATTCAACAAGCAGTCGACGAGTCCATTTTTTCCAGAATTGATGCTGCCACAACATCGAAGGAAGCATGGAGTATTTTGAAGATGGAGTATTTTGAAGATGGAGTATCAAGGGTCCTCTAAAGTAATCACCATCAAACTTCAATCATTGAGACGACAGTTTGATGGTGCCTTTGCATTACTTTCTTGCGTATTGAGTGATTGGGTGTATTTTGTTAAATTGTTCATAGACGATTTCACTCGAATGAATTGGATGTATTTTATTAAAGCAAAGTCAAAAGCCTTCGACTGCTTTAGGAAATTCAAAGCGTTAGTTGAGAAGCAAAGTAATGAAGTAATAAAAACGTTAAGAACAGATCGAGGTGGGGAGTTTATGTCATAAGAGTTCATTGCATTTTGTGAAAAAGAAGGAATTAAAAGAGAGCTCACAGCACCGTATACACCGGAACAAAATGGGATTACAGAGCGTAAGAATAGAAGCGTAGTTGAAATGGCATGCTCAATGTTGAAGAGTAAAAGGCTTCCTAATAACTTTTGGGCTGAAGCTGTTGCAACGGCAATATATCTTCTCAACATTTCACCTGCAAAAGCTGTCTGGAACAGGACACCATACGAAGCTTGGTATGAAACTAAACCCTCTGTAAATCATTTGCGCATATTTGGCTGTGTGTGTTATGCATTGATCACTACTAACAGACACAAGATGAGTGAAAAATCCAAGAAATATATTTTTGTTGGGTATTGCTCGAATTCAAAAGCATGCAGGTTGTTTGATCCAGAACACGAGAAGATTGTTGTTAGTCGTGATGTCATCTTTGATGAATACAATATGGATGATGTCTTATTAGAATCCAACAGTTCAAAGTTTGATTCAGGAGTCATTAGGCAGCTCGAAGAAGAATCAGATGATCAACTAAGTGTTCCATACACGGTTCCATCATCACCTTCAGATAAGTCTTCATCCGAGCCCACTTCGGATGGATCATCACCCGAATCAACTTCAGATGGGTCATCACCAGAATCAACTCCGCCATGTAAATACAGGACCTTGGAAGACATATATTCTAGCACCGTCGCACTATTTGCAGGTGATATGGTGTCCATTGAATCTGCACTTCAAGATCAAAACTGGAAGAAAGCCATGAAAGAAGAAATCAAGGCAATCGAAAAGAATCAGGCGTGGAATTTGGTTGATCTTCCAACTGGTAAATATCCAATTAGTTTCAAATGGGTATTTAAAACCAAATTTAATGCAGATGGAAGTGTTCAAAAAACACAAGGCAAGACTGGTAGCTCGTGGGTTCAAGCAAGTACGAGGTGTAGATTTTGACGAGACGTTCTTTCCTGTTGCAAGAATTGAGACTATACGATTAGTCCTTGCCTTAGTTGCCCAACAACAATGGAAAGTGTACCAGTTCGACGTCAAATCAGCCTTCTAGAATGGAGATCTAAAAGAAGAGGTTTTTGTGCAACAACCAGAAGGATTCATTATTTCAGGGGAAGAACACAAAGTATACAAGCTCAGGAAGGTGTTGTACGGGCTCAAGCAAGCACCGCGAGCCTGGTACAGCAAAATTGACAGTTTCTTTTGCTCAAATGGGTTCAAGAGGAGTGAGAATGAACCCACTATGTACTTCAAAAAACAAGGTATTGAAGACATAGTTTTAGTCAACCTTTATGTTAATGACATGATTTACACTGGTTCATCATCAAAGATGATTCAACAATTCAGATTAGATATGATGAAAACATTTGAGATGACGGATCTTGGTGAATTGCACTACTTTCTTAGCGTCGAGATCAAGCAAACGAAGAAAGTGTTGGTCCCAAAAGGGTCTACAAGAATACTAAACAGTTTGTAGAAGGGGGGGATGAATACAAACACAATTTTCAAATTTAAAATATATATTGATAAAGAAGATCAATACAGATTTTACAAGATTGTCTGCGGAAAGATAA